ACCAAGTGAGAAGTGACAACTAATAATGATGAAATTAACACATATTCTTTCGACTTCATTGATGGTCAAACAATTGAATTTATGATTAAGTCCGAAGAGGAAGAAGACCAAATAGTTGATTTTGAATCGGATGGATTTGGCAAGTCATATCACATTGAAGGAGGCAAGGTTAAGATTTGGATAATCAATGAAAAATGGATCAAAGTCAAAATAAGAAAACTAAGCAAGACATCAAAAGTTTTTTTTTTTTTTTTCAAAATTTCATGAGACAAAACATCAAAGTCAAGATAATGACTATAAATAAGTTCTTAATGGGAGGCAACCCAATTTTCTTTCCTTTTATTTATTTTACTTTTTAGATATATGATTAGTAATTTTTATTACTTTTAGTAGTATATGGTATCTTCATCTCCATATTTTCCTTTAAGGTGTGTATGAGCTTACTACAAAATTTTCCACGTTATGATTATTTTTACTATTTTGAAGGAACATGACACATGAACACATTGGACAAGTGAAAATATATAGCAAGTGAGCCAACACTTTCATGTCAATCCATTCACCACCTGCAGATTTATACTAAGTACTTAGTTTCTTCTTTTTTTTTTTTTTTAATTTTTTTACCTTTAATTTTTATATATTACTTGTTATATTTTTAGACATTGAAGGCAATGCCTGATGTAAGTTTGGGGGTGAAAAATATTGTAGTTCGTGTGTTTGTTTGAGTGAAAAAAAAAATTAAATGATTCAAAAAAAAAAAATTCTGAAAAGTTAAAAAAATAATAATTTATTTTCAACTTATTTATTACTTTTGTGTGCATGTGTAGGTAAGATGAATTTGTCTACTATGATGCATATATTATAAATCGTGAAAAAGTTACATATGGAGTTGATTATGCTTATTCATGTAAAACTTGATATTTTTACATACAAGAATTATGTATAATTTGATTCAAAATTTGAATATGTAAAAAAATTAATTTGTGATCCTTAGATACTAAATCCAAATAACCACTAATTTATACATATTTAAACCAATTGTATGATAGTTTGGGAGTGATTGAGCTGTTGTAGAGAGATATTGATATAGATGTGGATTCTATGTGTGATAAATTTTGTGTAGATTGTCTAAAGCCAATAAAATGAAAATTAGATAAAAATCTTAAGTTAGAGATTTATTTTTGAGAATAAGTGTTTAATAAGGAGTATCGCACTAATCATTACATGAAAAAAAGAAAAAAAGAAAAAATATTGTCTTATTGTAAAACTTCTATTCATAGTCTTTATGACTCAAGTGATTAAGTCTACAGAAGTATCTAAAACCTAGTGACTTATAGTCACCTGAGTTGGGAGTTATCGGTCAAAAACTTGTTACAAGATTCATTTAAAAAGTTTAATGGAGAAAAGTCCGCATATAAGATAAAAAAGGAAAAGAGAAAAAAAAAAGAGAGATTATTACATGTTTTGATTAAGTTTCAAATACTTATTTGAGAGAATCTAAACATTTGACAATTGATTATTAACTTAGTTGATTCTTGGAGGTTGAAGTAATAAAAAATAAAGAGAATCCTCATTTGTTGATGTATTGAGCTGCAATTAGTAAGATCCAACCAAATTAGAGGGGGTGAGGATCCAGTATTATATAAAAATTTAACCATAGGTTACACTTTAGGAGAGAGTTAAAAGAATAAGTTTGGGGGTGTGAGTCTTACGAGAGGAGAAATGATAAATTTGACTATTGAGGGTCGGGTTTTGTATCGCTTTATGAATTTATGATGTTTGACATGAATTTTCACACACATATTGATTTTCATTGGATAAATAGAAATTAATTTTAGTATTGTGATTTTATAACAGTTCATAATTTTAATACACATATTCCAATTATGAGACCAAATGTAAATTATCTAACCAAGTGTGTTTAAATTTTTTTAAAAAGTTTGTTTATAATTTTGTTTGAGGACAAACAAATGTTCAAGTTTGAGGGTGTTTGATAAATGTATTTTGTAACTTATTTAGGCCATTAAATTAGAATATTTGTTAGTATTTTGGATGATTTATTGTGTTAATTATGTTTGTAAGTTGAACTCAATTCAAAATGTTGGATTTGGAAAAAAAAAAAGAACGAAAAAAGTGTGAAAAGAAGGAAATCCAAAGTTTGAGGGACCAAACTGTAAACATTTAATAGTTGATTCGGACCACAAAACGATGATTGAATATCATATAGGATCAATTGGATGTAATTGGAGGTCAAATGAGTGAAATATAATTTAAATATTTTCACAAATCAATTTCGAGTCGAAGAAGTTATGCTTCGAATTTTAAGCATCAACTTAGATCCATTTTTTGGAAAGCAAATGTTTGAATTGGAAAAAAATTACATGTATAATAATTTTTGCCTTTTTTATTATATTTCGAATGCATTTTAAAACACCTCAATCGGATATCTGTAGAGAAAGTTATGGCCAAAATACTGAAAATTGCTTAGTTACGAATTGAAACGAATCTGCGCTCGCATGGGGGCACCCTATTTTCCCCAACTTGAGATCCATTTGGCTCAACGGCGTGCGCGCGATAGTTATGTCGGTGTGGGCATGCGATTTTCGCAGATGAATCAGCAGTTTCCTTCCGCGATTCAAACTCTTTTGAAACCTAAATTGGACGCGATTTTGACATATTTTTCAGCTCTTATAAATAGAGAACAAATGTTACACATCGAAAAACTCTCTCTTGCCTCTTCATACAAAATATTATCACAAATTCATCAAGAACAATGAGTTAATTAATATATTTTGAGAGAGGAGATTAAGTCCAAGCAAGAAATTGAAGGTTAATTACATCAAAACTTTGAAAAATTCAACATTGGAATTGAAGATCAACATCTTTTGTATTCTTTCATGATCCAGATGATATTTTTCTATTATTTTTTTTGTAATTTTTATATTAACAAGTAGGACTGTCCGTGTGTTGGTTCGGTTCGGTTCGGTTCGGTTCTAAAGAGAAACGAACCGACCCAAAACATTCTGTTATTTAATAAATGGACCGTCGGGTACAAATATAATTATGGAACCATTAGGGTTCGGTT